TTGGCCTGCCGCCTGGAGATCAGAAAAGATCTTCATGGTGGACACGAAAGGTACAACTGGCAGTTAAAGACAAGAAAGCAGCGTTCAAGAAATGCGAATGCAAGATATCGAAAGCCAAAGCTGATTCCTTGGAGAAGTTCAGTGAGGTTGCTTAGTCGAGTTTCGAAATGATATCCAATCTATTCTGGTACACCATCCGCGGCTCCGAGGTAGAAAGAATGGAGGTCTAAAAGTTATGAAGGACAAGACTGTTCGCCCTCTTTCCGAGGTTGAGGGCATTCTTTGGTAGGGGAGAGAGTACTTTGACCAACTGCTTAACCTGGAAGACTCGCCTGTAAAGCAGTAGATTACGAATAAATTATTTCTATAGATGAAATTACACAAGCTGTGAAAAGACTGAAAAATGGAACCGCCGCTTGAGTTCATGATATCCACCCTGAAACGCTCAAGGCAATAGGCAACCAAGACAGATGTTGGCTTTCGCGCAACTGCCAAACTGCAATGGCTATGGGAAAGACTCCAGTGCACTGGAAAACGAGAGCTGCAGTACTCCTGTTCAAGAAAGCAGACAACGGAAAGTGCTCGAATTATCGGTTCATTACATTATTGAGCCTCCCGCGCTAAGGTGTTAAAAAGGTGCTGCGGAATAACTGACTTCAAGATACAAGAAGAGCAGTGTGGCTTCCGGCCTTGTCGAAATACATTTGACCAGATATTCGTTCTACGCCAGAATGTTGAGAAGTCGCTGGAGTTCACCCATCCAGTGTACCTGTGGTTTGCTTAATTACGGTAAATCTATGACCGGATCCCGCCCAAAAGTCAGTGAGCATGCTTGCGAACATATTGGATCGTTGATCAGTTGCTACGGTGCATCCAATCACAATATGATAATAGTAAGGGCTGTGTCAGAGTAAATAGCGTCAAGTCTAAAACTTTCAGAGTAGGCGTTCGTGCCCGCTAAGGATACCTGCTCCATCTCCTGCACATGGAGAGAATATTCAGTCGCCGCCAAGGCCATGAGTGCATCAGTGTAGGAGATGTCGAGAGAAGGTTGCTGTTTGCAGACGACCTTTTGTTAGCTTCCTGTAAACTGATCCCCAGCGTTCTCTGCATAGGTTCGCAGCCGAGTGCGACATGTCAGGTGTGAACGTATCTTAAGAGAAAAGCAAAGAACGGAAAAGCAATACAGCAGATAGAGAAATTCAAGTACCTAGGGATCATGTTTACCAGTTATGGAGAATTTGAGGAGCAGACGCTGCAGACAGCGGAGGATTAAAGTAACCATTGAACTTGTCTGAACCATTGTGACTAAAGCAGAGCTGAGTCTAGAGCCCTCGATATTCAAGTCGATCTTTATCCCCCATGCTTACCTGCTATCATGAGTCATGGACCATCACTGAAAAACTTCGATCCAGGGTACAAGCGGATGAAATGGGCTTTGAGAGACGAGTCGCTTTCTTTACACGTCTCGACACGGTTCGGATACAGACATTTAAAAAAGCCTCGATGTACAACCCCTGCTCTCCAGACTGAGAAGTCACAGCTGGAATAGTTTGGACGTGTTGCGAATGCCTCCAGAAGAGGGCAAAGCAACTATTTTTTGCCAAGGCGACTGGCAGAAAGTCTAGGGGACGGCCAAAATTAACCTGGAGTAAAGGTGCGAGTCTGCTCCATGCTCCACTTATCACCTGCCGAAGCCTATGAAATTCTGAAAGAATTGTCTGACCCGAAAGGGAATACCGGTTATGGAAGACGAAGATATGCACGATGTGAAATGCCCCGGTTAGCAATACAGCATTGAGAACCTACCTAATTTGTTTGTTCGATCAGTATTTAAACTGTAAATTCTGCATTAATGATTTCTGTAGTTTATTTTAAACATTAAACCAAGATACTTAACTCCTATCCAAAACTCAGAACCAAAGTAGAATAATAACTGCCAGAAAAACTAACTACAGTATTTTGCTGTTCTATTTACTAAGCGATAAAATTCGGGAAAACTGAAACAAATTAAATCCAGAAGCAAAAACCAGAATGAACGAGAAAATTTTGGGTAAATTGTTTTTGGCGTTCATTTCGCTGAACAGCACTGTATAATTGTCAAACTCAATGTAAAAAGGCGAACTTGTTGTTAAACATGCTGCAAACCTTAGCAATCATTTTAATATTCAGAAACGTAAAATATTAACAAAGTTCAGCAGGTTGTTTCTGAGCTTGTTTCATATGCGTGGCGATACGGTCCAAATCTTTGCGACCTTGTACGCTTAAGCGTCTACCGCCTGTCGGATGCTTTTCAGCCCATTTGATCGCTTCTAGGGTCTGAAGACATTTCCGAGCAACACTTCCCGACGCCCTGCAAAAATGGGCCGGTGCAGAACCACGACGCTTTCGACCACCATAAATCTTCTTGAAAGCTCCAACTCCTAAGAACAGAAACTCTTCATTTTAAAGGAACATTATATGAGCTAACTGCTGTAATTGGCTAATTGTCAAAATAAAGAAAAAATTTAGCGACAAATTCACGAACAAATTAGTAACATATGTCAGGTTACGCTTGAACTTGCTTATCCAAAATAGCGAGGATTAGAAATAAGAAAAAAAACTAGAGTTAAAACAAAATTAGAAACCGTACAGAATTTTTCTTCTTATAAGACTCCTTAAGAAATCACTCTAACATTCAATAAAAAAAATTGGCTCTGGAGATTAGAACGAGCTATTATTGCAGAACGACTAGGAAATCTTGACGGTTCCTAAGATGCATAAACACAAGCATTTTTAATACACCTAGTATATAAACCTGCATTAAATAATACAAACAGTGTATATGCTACCGTCCAAAAGGGAAATCCATTCATACTTTAAAATGAAAATAATTCCCAATTCTGCCTATACCAGTACGGACTGAAACCAATTCGTGGTTCAGCAGAAATCAAAAAAGCTTCGCCTTTACTCGATTATTGCTAAGCTTACCGGTATACTTAAACTTCCACAATATTTCTTGTACGTTTAATTTTATTCCGCTGTTTCGGCTGAGGCTGAGGAAATGTGTAACGTGGTAAAAACCGTCGACTTAACAGCGAATTAGTTTTAGTCCATACCGGTATGGAACGGAATTCTGCCGTAGTCGGTAACATATAATAGAGCATATATAGCAATACAAAATGATATATTATTTAATGTTGAAACTGAATCTTTTGGCGGGAGTCCATTTACCTAATGAGTATCATTTACTGATGATATCGCATGAATTCGCTTCGCATGGAGTCATCAACTTTCAAATCATAAGTGATCCGCTCTTTGCGACGTAACATCTACACATACACAAGTTCTCCAGCGTTTCGGATCATGTTTGATCCGTCTTCAGGAAGCGACATATTACAGGTACGATACTACAGTATACGTAGGTACATTTACGTACAAACTTCAATATAGTGGTTTTAGTTTTGACAGTGGAAGATGCTTGATAACTTCGTTCCACCCCATCGTCTTTATTCATGCATTGGTTTGACTGTATTACCAACGCTTCTTTTATCTTCCTGTTAAGAAAGTTTCGCTCTCGATGCACTCTCTTCACATAGTCACATTATGCGGTGTTGCTCTTGTACTTCATGTTGCACAGCCGCCGATGTCATCCCGAACTCCTGTTTTACTACCTACGGATCACTCGTTTGTCTTCGCCCCTACCTTTCTGTATTTGTCCATTCTCACCGAAGGCAACCAGCACAGCTCGTTACTCGAGACTCGCGTCAATCGTGGCGCCTGCACTGAGTTTGATCGTCATATGGTCGTACGGGAACTGCTTCTTAGACTAGCAGTGCTGCATTGTAGCAGTGTATTGAAACAGGCTAAAATATGAAGAACAGGCGTGGTCGGACTATCGAAAAGAGATAGAATTACGCCAAACTAAGTGCCCAGTCCGGAAGTGGCCACATCAAAGAAGTTGCAAAAATTTCAAAGGCCTCACTTTCTTTGCGAATAACTTTCTTCGGGTCAGGAAGAGGAAGCCGAACTGCCCTCGGCTACGGAGAAGAGCCAAGAACACATAAGTTTATACGCATATACAAATAAAGTTATTAAAGCAGCCCTTCACAGAAATTCGAGGACATTAAAACTGAACTCTTAAACTTTGCTAAGTATCACAGTAGTAAATACTACAATAATAAACAACTACGTCGTGTATGCATGAAAAATAAAGAAAATAAATGCCATCTGTTCAAAGGGACAAACGGAAGCAAACGCAAAGTACGCTTACGAGCTGTGTACGTACTTAATATATTTCCCGTCTCTAGCGAATCAAGTGACATGACTGGTGTACTTTTCCTCCATTTACGAATATTATTCATCCAGCGTCGTAATGAGTACTGCATTAAGATGTCATCCTCTCATCAGGGTGTAAACTGCATTAAAAGGATTCGACATGCTTTGTTATATATTAATATAGACCCCATTAGGGTTTGTCCTCCGTAGATCTTTTTTCTGGACAGAATTGCTTCAGAAGGCGTAACTTATTATGCATCGTTCAATCTTCTATTTAAATCTTCATTTTTTTCATTTATTTGGTAATTTCAATTTTCTACATTTCCTTCAGCTTCTCCTTCAGGATCCCTACATTACCTTTAGGAGTGCTTTCAAACAACGGCATTTTATGAACTCCTTCAAAGCCATGTCTAGAACAAGCAACTAGTGTTCATCTGGAATTTTCCCAGAATGACCTTGCAAGCTTTGATCACTTCAGTTTCAGAGCAGTTGGAAGCTAACTTGATTTTTCTCCTTTCGACTCTTATATGGAAAGAGCGTTATTCTTCTGGGTAAAATGTATTTACACTTACCATATCATATTATACTATTACATATCATTTACAAAACATTCTCATCTCCCTCATTTACCATACCATATTCATATTCTCCATGAATTCTACCATATTCTTTATAATGTTCCCTATATGTTCACCGAGCTCACCGCTCATTCATAACAAAGGTACTACGCAGTATATTTTGAAGTTCGAAATCGATCCTGTGCTAAAACTGCCTTTTCACATTGGTCTTCATCCGTCTCAGCCGCAATTTCAATTATACTAAACAGCAGAATACAGCAGAATGCTTTAAAGCGCAAGTTTAACACAATTCTATCAATGATCATGTTGTCTTGAATTGCCGCCATCTCATTGACATCAATAAGGACAACATCTCAGCGTCATTCTTTCTAATTTCGTCAGTTCCGTTTCCTGCACGCAACCTGATCCAGTAGCTCTAAATACCTCAGGCTCCAGCACCAATGTTCCGGCAAGAAAACAATACCACATACAGGAAAAATCTTTAAGGTGAAAAACGAGTTTTACAACAAATGAGTCAGCCGAATGATGTCTTATAATACCTGCAGGTGATCGCAGATAAAGATGACGTGCAACAGACGCTGTCCTGGTATAGTACCAATCCGGATCCAGGGGTGCCAGTTCTTTGAAAACGCCCAGTTTAACGACGTCCGACCATTCTGGAACCTTCACCTTTCCGGTTTTCTTCAAAAACGATGCTACTTGTTGAACGAATTCGTGCTGATCCACGTCCTTGACGGTTACCCTCATGATTGGCAAATTCTAAAAAAAATCAGTCGTTACAATAAAATATAGATAGGCATAGACTAAAATAACATCATCCTCCGATTCATGGACACGCCCGAACAATCACGACTGCCCTTATCGTGACAGAACAAAGTAAACGATAAAATTATTCAAACTGCTTTTCCTAACGTTCAGTTGCAGGAATAAATGCCGGGAATTGGGTTTCATCGTTGCGAAGACCCACCATGATAATACAATACACTTTTATATAATTATTTATTGTTGAACTATTTATATTTATAACTAAATTTTTAAATTTGTATTAGCACTGCAATTTCCGTCTCCACCAACTTAGAAGAGTTACATACTTTTCGCAACAGCACTTAATAGTTTCCCACAACATCATTCGTCGAATACAATAATTTATGCTAATTTAAACAAGTCGCTTCTATGTTTCTAGAGACATATAGTAAAATTAACTCATCTTGGTTTAACCTTCTAGAGAAGCAACAATACCTACTCTCACAGAGTAAATAAATGAGAATTCCATTTACAACAGGTCATAGTTTCAGTAGAGTTGAAGTGGCTGCACGATGGCAAACAAGGAATCAAGAGCACTGTGAATTTCTGACCATTTCGCTATCAGTCATGTTCATGTTTTATGTTTCTTTTTATGAACTTCATGAGCGAGTTCCGCGCTTCTTTCGTAATCCATAACTGATTTAGGAGTAAAATAATTTTTTCAGTCATTTTTCTAAGTTAATTGCGCACTTAATTCACATATCTAATTGTGTAATGGTGGGTTAACGATTGATTTTTTAATTTATTTGCATCATCAGTCTGTTTTTTATCCTAATACAGAAACAAGTTTTAGCTTTCTTCAACTCTGTGGATGCCTTCGCGTCAAGGCTTTGGGTATGAAGACGAGGACGTGCCGTTGAAAACTCGCCTAAAGACTATGTACAAAGATTTTTTCGTCCAATCTAAGGTAGGCTTTAAGCTGCATTGTTGTGGCATTGTGATAGAATTCGTAATGTGACTAATTAAGCTTCTTAGACAAGAATTCAAGAACTGGATGTCGAATCCACCTGAGTGGGCGTTTACTCCGAATCATGACGAGGTATTTATCCAGTGGCAGTTCGATCAGCCAGAAGTGTTC